ACACATTACAATGTCATTGTGATATAGAAAAGGAAAAATAAATATGGGCACAAAGATGAAAATTAAAAAATTAGAAAGTCCATTGTCAGAATTTGTAACTCTTGGGTTGTCCTCTGTCAATACAGTATATGCTTTCCAACTGAACATTTATGAGATGAACTTTTGAGCTGTTTCAGAGAAAGGGTTTATCATTGGGTGATCTACATTCTCTTCATTAGTGAAAGTCAAGATTCACTTGCACAATTCATGCCAAATTTACAAAAAGTCTAATAATAATGTGTAAACAATGTGCTTGACAGTTTATGACAACTAGATGAACCATTTTGCATTTAATGACTTATACGATGAACTAAAGACTAGATGTTTTGAGGGGAAAGACTATTGCACAGAAAACTATATAATACATTTTGAGCAACATGACATTAGCAACTGTTAATGTAGGAAACCACAGATAAATGTACATAGTCAATTGCATGAATGTACCAAAGCAATCACAGCTTGTTCAAAAGAATGAGAAACTGCTTTTATGATGTGTACAAATGACTAGATGATGTGGAAGTTGTACAAGTAGTTTTGAGAATTTCATTTCTGATTTGAGAAATGCACCAAAGCGACTGAGAAAAACTGTAAAGGAGAGCTGTCAGAAGCTGTCAAAGTCTTCTGTCCCTGTGATCCATATGCACTTTCAAGTGGCCACAGAAAGCCTCGTCACCGCTTTTCAGATGATTAGATATACTAGAACTTACATTGACTTTACGGTCTGCCTGTGCATGCAGGGGTGATCAAACATGCTGACTAAATCTACAATCAGTCACAGTTGCTGGGGCATGTAGGGACTTTTCATCACCAACAAAAGGAAACAAAAGTCAAATGCTGTGAAAGGAAATGTATAGAAACATTCAGTAACCGTTTGTCCGTTAGAGATGACCAGTCCATTTCTAACATTGTTTGTTTGTTTATGCTGAAGTATTATGATGCACCATGTTTTATGTTTCTCACTATGTATTTGTGTACACACGTGTGTATCCTGTTATATATGGGCTTAAACATAACATGAGCACCTTGTTTTTATGAAGTATGGAAGTAATTATTTTAAGATAGACGTGACGTTAATCACCAATGTATCTTATCATCATATTCTGTATTTTGAAGCGTGTCTGTAATGTGAGGCACTTCATCTGCATATGACTATTTTCTGTACAAAAAAAAAAATACTTTTAAAGATGTTGTAATATATGTGAAAGTGAAAAGATATTGCTCAGTTTTACAGGCTGTAAATACCTATTAAAATAGGGCTTTTTTAAAAATACAAGGGATTATCTTTATACGTAATATGCAGATTTTTCAGAGACATTCATTCAGCTAATATAATAAAAAATTATTCAACTGTTCAATGTTTGAGAAAAATGAAGGCTTGTCATCTTAACGGGATACTTCAGCCAAAAATGGGGAAAAAAAAAAAATCTGTCATCGTTTATTCACCTTCATGTAAGTCCAAACCTGTATGACTTTTTTTCTGAGAAACACAAAATAAGATATTTTGAAGAATTTTGTTTTGACATTTTTAGGACAAAAACAAGTGCTGTTGTGTTCTACAAACGAAAGAAAGTCAGGTTTGGAACGACATGGAGGTGAGTAAATGATGACAGAATTTTCCATTTTTGGCTGAACTGTCCCTGTAAACGCACATGTGGGGCCGGTTTAAGTGAAACCGGTAGCAGTTGCATGCAGTTGTTATGAACAATCAAATCAAATGTTCAGCTCATTACAGTATTCGGGCGGTGCTGCCTCATTTTTAGCAATTTCAGTGTTTTTATACTGACTCTAAAAATGTGAATAAAGCAAAAACAACCCAAATTAAATTAGCGTTTCCAACACAGTATTCAAGAGTCATGATGGGCAACCAATATACAAGTATAGATACCAGTAAGATTTAATTTCTTAAAAAACTAAAAAAAAAAAAGAAAGGGTTCTTTTACTCATTTCTGCATTACTTTCCCTCCCCTTTGGCATTCTTGTTTTTTGTGGCATAATTTTGTAAAGGCAAACAGGGTTGAAGTTATGCAATAATGACGAGTGCCTAGTATTAAGATTTTCACGGTTTCCCTGGTTTAATAACCCAGACACGACACAAAGATCTGTTCCTTTGAAATGCACTGAGCCTTATGAACCATTTTGAAGCTGTAAGTATCCCGGTTGGTGTTTCTTGAACATTCTTTATGTGTCTCCTATGGAAGCTGCATAATATTTATATGGTATTACTCACCTATGGAAGGACACAATTGCTTAATTAACAGGACTCTGGTTTACCTCTAACTTTATAAAATCGTGTGAACTTCTCATGCATCCCCAGTTATGGAAATCGAGCAGTCGCAGGAAATATTCTGAATGTTAAGACACTGGTGGTATGGCATAATTCCTCTGTGAACAGCATTTCCCCCCTCGAGTCTCTGTAAAATATTGCCTTTATGTATTTACTTTACTTTCTTTGGAATCAAGTATTTACTCAATGGCCTTTGTTTCTTGTTTTGCTGATATTCCGTAATTATCTTTCTTGTATTTATGTATAGTGTGTGTATTGTAAATATATTCAGAGCTTTTTTCCCCTTTTCGGTTTTAATGTAAAGTTGTGATATTTTACCCTGCTACACTTCAAAGGGATTCCCTTCCCATTGGATCCTGCTGGAGGTTGTCACGTCCCAATCGTTTCAGAGGTTGAAAGTGTTTCAGCTTTATTTTGCTTCTCCAGAAGTTGTCTAAATATTCTGTGCTTTTTGCTATTCTCTGTATTTTCTTTTCTTTTCTTTTTTTTTCCAGAAGATTTGAGCTGTGAATTGAAATTGAGGTTACACATTATACTTGTTTGATAATCTAATCGGAGGCATGGAAGTTAATAAACCTGCATTTTGTATGGAACATATTGGCATAAACTCATTTATTCACGTTTACTTGATTAGTATTTTTGCCCCATGGTTTCCCATGAGAATTTTTATTTTTGGATTTGAGTAACATAACATTACGCTAGTTCCTAACAAGATAGTAAGTACTAAAGCTACCACATTAAATAATAATTGACATCATGAAAGCTCTAGAAATACACTATCATTCAAAAGTTTAGTGTTTTCTTTTTTTATTACATTTTTATAAAGAAGTTAATCCCTTTCAGCGCTCAGCCAGGGCATATTACATTGATAAAAAATGACAGGCATTTATAATGTTACAAAATATTTAAAATAAATGCTGTTCTTTTAAGCTTTCTATTCTAAGAATCCTGAAACAAAAATGTATTATGGTTTTCACAGAAGTGTTAAGCAGCACAACTGTTTTCAGCATTGATAATAGAAAAAAAAAATTTCCCCTTAAGGGTACGAGCAACCTCACAGTGATCCTATAAGTTCTTTCAGTAAATGGCATTCACTAAAGAGGATCACAGCTGAGCTACTGTTTGATCCATACTCTCATCTGCAAAGATCATCTAAATGTCAGGTCAAATAGTGAATTAAACTATTGTTCCTTTCCATGAAAGAAAATAAATGAGTTCCCTATTGACACAGGGCTTTTCAAAGAAACATGAAGGCATCGACTTCACGATAACAATCTTCCTCAGTGACAAAGCAGCTGGGCTGATTCCGGGCATGTTTAACAAGTATTATATAACACAGAATCTTAAAGTTACTAGCTGGCAATCACTAATAATCAAATAGCATCACTCTGTTTGGCCAGCAAGTCTTTACTTTGAGGCGCAATGTGACATGTGCTGACTTAGCATGCAGCTAACATGCTAACCTCTGCTAAAAAGAGGCCAGACAAATAAAACTCACCATACGCTGGACAATACATCGTCAAAAGTGGTAACTGACTTGTATTTTAATTAAAAATTGCACCTTTATTTGAGAAATACAAAAAAATCCTCCACCATTCCATCTTCGTTTTTGTTAGCATACATACTTCTGAAGTTCTGTGATAACTCCACATATAATCCTGGAGAGAAGGTTTCTTTAACAGTACAACAACATGCAGTATATTCACTTGGTGTTTTTAGTGTATTTGTTCCTGTGTGGGCCTAACTGTGATTTATTTCTGGACAATAACAGAAATAACAGGGGGGGGTGAATTGTTCATGTTCAGAATTGGTCGCTTATGTCAGAACTGATTCAGAAAATAACGTACACCCTAGTGATGAAAAGAATGCATTGTGAAAATGTCAGGTTATTTTCATGACTGAGGCCTTTCTACTGTTAGGCTACTCAGTGATTTGTATACAGGCCAGATAATTATAGTATCAATTTAATTGGGTGTTACCACTCAATACCATCAACTTTTAACTCTGCGATTTCAAATCTGACAGCCCGTATTAGCAACTGTAACCACACCTCCATTTATTCACCTAATCACATGTGAGTCAGGATGACTGGACACTCCAGTTTAACCTGACAGACTAAGACTTTAAAGACCTGCCTCCATATTATGTGTAATAACAGTAATGATGTATGCATTTAACATTAACTGTACTCATCTAAGTGCTGCAAATTAGAGTGATTAATGGGTGTATTTAACATTTTAAACTTAAGCAGTTTGAACCTTTAATTACAGCAATTAAGAGTTTTTCTCTTTCGGTTTGTCACCAAATGAAGAACGTCTAGTTACAAATGTAAATAGAGTTATATGTTCTTCCTCTCTCTCTCTCTAAAACATATAAACATTGTGGATCCTCGTATTACATTACCTCAGATAAAAACAAACTCCATATGTCCCCAATCTATTTTACTTCCATCTCAGGAACAACATCAGATTGTCATGTGTAACGAGTCCCTTCTGTTTCGCATTTGCAATCTCTGAAAAATAAGGCGGAAAAAATGTTATCACTGTAATGGAAAATAAGAGGTTTTATGGGGCCACACATACAGATGTAACACACACCATAAGCCAAACCAACTAATGTAAACAATCAGCTGCCACATTGTTCCACATAATGCGGCCATTTAGAGCACTATTATTTTGAACAAAGATTTCTAAAACCACTTCCCAGTAACCCGGTACACATTTCATGTAAGCGTTGAGTTACATTTTATAAAATAGAAATAAAATAAAAAAATTGTCTGTGCAAAATAAATACATGTTATATGTACATTTAAAGCTATCATTTATCCCAAACAAATGCATAGTAGGGAAAATAAACAACTATGGAAGTAATCGATATCTGACCCGTCCTCTTGCCAGGAAAAATACAGCATTTGTACCACTTATTGCATTTCAGTATAACACAGGAATTAACATAAAGGAGTTCAATCAATCTTCAGATTGTGCTCTTTCAAACATTTTGCCTACATAAAGCAAATCCTCTTCGAAACATATCATAGTTTGGACTTCATCCAACTCTTTGGTGTTCTGAAGCTACATTTAATTTTCTAATTACCCGGCGGCTCCCGCACAAATTTCTGAAGCTCGGTTTCTTATCAAGTGCTGCTTTTAAGAGACATTAATTCATTGTGACTCAGCGTTTGTGGCTCACATTCTCATGACTGTTCTGCAGTTTGGTTCTACAACCAAGACTACAGCGCATTTTATAATTTACCTTGTGATACAAGTATGAGTAGTCATTTACAGGAATATTCTGGGTTCAATAAAAGTTAAACTCCTTGATAGAACCTGTGGCATAATGTTGATTACCATAACAATTCATTTCAACTTCCAAAATCTGGGTTCAATGGGGCCAATCTTGTAAACGTTAAAATTGTCAATGTTTCAATAGTATAGCCACAAGATCATGTGTTTAACATGATCAACATTAAGCCACAAATTAAGTCAATTAATCTTAACTTGTATTAATCTGGAATATTGCTTTAAAGAAGATTAAAACTGCCCACAAGTTCTTGAACGTTGTACATTTTACATGGCACCTCCATTCTACAAGGTAAAAAAGGCACATTAAAAGTAGTTATGTCATAAATGATGACCTCAAAGTATGCAGACAAACAAAAAAAACAAAAACAAACAAAGAAACATGTCAAAAGAATGTCCCATCTGGCAAATGAGCCAAGTTCTCATCAATTAGCTGGTTTTGTGACCACAGGAACCGTACTGACGGCAGGGTCTGGTCCCGTTGTACCTGATGAACTGCCAAAACCCAAGATTAACCAACACACCCAAATCCTAATTAGTATCATCAACAGAGGTCCTGATAGCCCTCCCGCGGCACCGTCAGAACAACGAGAGCGGGCGGCTCTAGTTCTGGTGTCTTTTCATGTGGAGGGCCAGGTGGTCCGATCGGGAGAAGCAACGGCTACATACGGCGCACTGGAAAGGTTTGGCCCCCGTGTGCTTCCTGAAGTGGCGCGTTAGCTCATCAGAGCGGGCGAATCGCCAGTCGCACCCCTCCCATGAGCACTTGTATGGCTTTTCGCCTGCAACAAAACACAGGCCAATACAGGTTGAGGGGAGAACACCACCAAAATTTGATGAGATAAAATGCTGTGTACTGCATAATAATGGCAAGAAAAGCTCTTTCTGTCAAACAAATGTTAAATCTGGTTCTTTTTAGTGAATCAAATAAATGGAACACAATCACTGTAGTACCTTTCATGACCAAATGACCCTTATGAGCCAGTCCTTTAAACGAGTCTTATGAATCCTTCACCATATCTGTGACTTCAGTTCATCACTTCAGTTGGAAAAGATAAGTTTTAGTTGTTTTGATTAGTATATCTGTTAAATAAATAATAGAACCGCATAGTTTGGGTTGTTTTTAGAAGGTTCCTTGTAAAATGTTCAGCATTTTCTGAGAGAAAATTTGCGGACTAAATGGCCTAAATGACTGTAATCTCTGGTTTTATTACTAACGTATATTTTTTTATATTAAATTAAATGTTATTGTCACACAAATATGTGACAGCAATACCACACTGACGATTGTGTGAACAGCTCTCATTTTGTGTGATAACATTTATTAAATGTCCTACCTGTGTGAGTACGTAAATGGGCCTTCAAATGTGAGGACTTGGTGTAGACCTTCTTACATCCTGATGCATAAGAATACAATAAATGTTAATACATACCATACCTTTTAAGCTCATATACTCATATACTTATATAAACATTATTGGGATAGTTTGCCAAAAAAAAATTATATTCTGTGAATGAATTTCTTCAACCTCATTTTGTTCCAAACCTGCATGACTCTCTGTCTTCTGAGAAACACAAAAGCAGATATTTTTGGAAAAAGTCTCAGTGTTTTTGTCCATAAAAAAGGGAAAGAAGTTCTTCAAAATAGTTTATTTTGTGTTCCACAGAAAGAATAATGTCAAGTAGGCTTGGAACAACACGAGGGTGAGGAAATTTCCATTTAGGGGTGAACTACCCTCTGAACTAACATTCTGGCTAGCTCTGACTTGTCCAGCAGCCTCATCTACAATGTCAAAAGGTTTCACCATTGTGTCCTAAGCCTCTTAGTCAGTCAAAGTCCAACCTAGAGACCGGTAATTGCCCAAAGTTTAGTCATGTCAGTCCGCAATATCTTTTCAACAACATTAAATCATCTGAATAGTGATTTAAGCCTGCACTGCGTCATATAGACTATGTGGAAAAAGCCGCAGCTTCCTATCAAGGCCTTGAATGTTATTTCAAATAAAGTGTGTATACTAGTCACAAACTAAAGTGTCTAGATGCTAAATTCAATCTCACCTGGTACATCACAGTGATGTATTCTCCTTTTGTCTAGATCGGGATTGTTTCTGCGGTTGTATTGGGCAGGTACTGCTTGTGTTTGGACAGAAAGTGCTGGTCCAGGGGTAAGACCTGCCATTTTAGACGCCATGCTGGCAGCATATGACGGAGGTGGCGATAAGTTCTGTATGAGTTCTTTCCTCCTGTCTGGGCTGCCCGGTTCTGAGTTTGGAGGGGAGGGTGGTAGATAGGCTGCCCTCTTCTGAGGATGCTGACCAAACTGGGTAGGTAGCGAATATCCACTGTTGCTCATATTACAATGCGGTCGTTCTGCAATCTGGCTGGGGTGTGTGTGAATGCCGTTATACGTCGGCATCGGAGGGCATGTGGCATTGTGGGAATCTGTGCAAGGGTGGCCACCATTGGGCTCGAGCTCCGTATTCAACAGCTGAAAAAGTGGAACATCTGGGAATTCGAGGGACGGCGTCTCATGCTTGACATAAACATTGCTACCCGTTTCCATAGCTGGGCTGTAGAGGTTTGTGTACTCTGGATGCGTAATGGCGGGTGCAACCGAGCCGTGGCAACTGGAGTGGTTGAAAGACGAATGCAGAGGTTCTGTCTTTATCTGTGGCGCCGCGGACCTCACGGGTCTACACATGCCGGTCCGTAGGTAAGTGACGTCCGGTAAAAAAACATTCATGTTTATGCTGTATGGCGTGCCTTGGTCCATCGTGAGGGAATTGTCTTGACAAAACTTCTTATGGTCTGACAACGCATAAAACTGAGGTGGCAGGTATCCATCCATGTTTCTTTTGATCTGAGGGACAGAAAAAAATGGGTTTTCATTTACCACAAAAACATACAATACATGAACAGAAACAAGTTTGTTGTTTCAACAATCCTTGAAAATATAGCAAAAATCTAGGTTTAGGTGGTTAGCATGTCCCTGTTAGCCAAATGCTGTATCTGTAATCTTGCTGTATTCTACGCAAATATTTCATTATGTTATTGTTTTACCATTGTCTGATTCTTTATTGTGCTTTTAAAAGCACAAACTGGTTGCTCTGTGAAGGTTTTGGGTCTCTGTGTGCGTTCTTATGGTGTCATCAGCATGATACTCTACAGTCATTAGTCACATGGTATTTATCACTGAGCTGATTGGCTTAAAGCATTGCATACATCCAGCCAAGCAACAGTCATTGACATGGCAATGTTAATGTATAGCTTTCATTTATTATAGGCCTATATAACCCTCTGGCATAAATCCTTTAAGCTTTCTAGTAAACAATGCAGAAATTCCTGAGAATTTCAAGACAAGTTTAGAGGAATGCATCTTCAACCTGACTGACTTTTTGTCCACTGTGTTCACATGTATATTCACACTCTTAAACTCAAAGATCAGCTCAAACTTATTAAAATTTCTGACCATTTCAAGTCAGCTTGTGTGCATCTCTAAATACTCAGGCTTGTTGCTACCTTACACCGAAGAAGGAACCCCCATACAGGCTCTCTCTCTCTCTGCCATCCATAAACTAGGAAATACTCCATCTGAATTTAGAGCCTACAGCTGCTCTGCTGTTATGGAGTTTTCAGATTAAGGTCAGCGCAGAGTTCGGCACAATTCATCCAGCATGATTCATACGTACAATATAACGTACAGGAGAACACCATTACAAAACATTACTATAAAATAGAAGCTGTTCAGCGATTATGTTATGTTTTAGATCAAAAGCATAAACAACACAGGCATTTCGGAAAGCTTGCCACCCAGCACTGTTTACCAATGTAACATGCGATTACAGATTCACTCTACCAGAATGTGATGCTTTGATGGAGTGTCATTAAATCCACTGTAATCGTCCTCTCTCAATGCCGCGTTCAGTTCTTAGAGGTGGTTTATTCTAGCCGTGGATCCTGCTCAACAAAGCGTTGCCCATAACCGCATGTCCTCTGCTGAAATAAGCTGGAGATCACGTCATTCAATATGCCGCAAATGAGAACGAAACGACAGCCTGCCAGAGATGTCAAGCGCTTTACGCGTTTGACAAGACAAATTACGCAACTGCCTCGTTTCAATGCCCCAAAACGGGGCGGGGCTTTATCATCATACATTAATAATTCACCCAAACAGGTTTTCAGGATCTGCAATAGTCTTGCAAAGAAAAGAAAGAAAGAAAAAAACAACAACTTGGGAATGCACTGTAATAAAAATGTATTTTTTAATACATGTATGTAAATGCATTATTATTTATTATTAAAACTGGCTGTTGTAGTTGCCAGAACTTTACCATACACATACAGATCTTTTGGTGTTGTATATTTTAGTGGTGTATATGCCATTAAATCATATACTTTTTTTATATACCAACCTATTTTAGCTATTAAAAATATTTGTACTTATAAAAGCACAGATGTAACCTAAAGTTTAGCAAAATTGGCCTCTCCAGCAACAGTGAAAAATAACGTTTCCAACATACAAACACAAAACACTAAAATAACATAATTCCCACTTAAATAATGCAGTAAACATAAACTAAAACTAAAATTAAAATAAAATTCAACACTCCAATTCAGATAAATGTGAGGACCTAGAGCAGAGGTAGGCAAGTTCGGTCCTAGAGAGCCGCAGTCCTGCAGAGTTCAGCTCCAACCCTAATCAAACACACCTGAACAAGCTAATCAATGTCTTCAGGATTACTAAGGCTATAGGCAGGTGAGTTTTTTTTTCAGGGTTGGAGCTGAACTCTGCAGGACTGCGGCTCTCTAG